CTAAAAATGCCCCGCTGGAAAGACCATAAGGGTACGTGTACTCATATAGTATATACATTGGCCTTACTGTAGTCCCTATATAGGTACTTTGAGGCCCATGTATATGCTATATGAGTACATGGACCTTTAGGGAGACTTCAAACGGAGCTACAAGGCTAGGGATTGGGTTGCTTTTTGGGGGTCAACGGTTTAGGGTTTAGGGTTTAGAGTTCAGGGTTTAGGGGTTTGGGCTTAATGTTCAGGGTTTACTTTGCATGGCTGCAGAACGCTGTATAGGATGCTTTTCTGCAGGACGTTTAAGTGGTGGTGGAGTAGAAGCGGATGAAGGGTTCTGTAGTCTACGGGGTTTACCAGACCCTACCTGGCTTTAGCGTCTGTAGGACTTCGTGAATTTCCTTATCAGGTTTGGAGATCCCAGAAAACTCCTGCACCCTCTTAACCCTCTTCCCTAAGGGTCCATGTACTCATGTAGTATATACAGTGGCCTTAATGTAGTCCCTATATAGGTGCTTTAAGGCCCATGTATATGCTATATGAGTACATGGACTCTTCGGGCTTAATGGGAAGTGAATTGCTTTGGGAGGGTATGGGTGCCTGCAGGGCGTGTTGGCCTCAGACCTAAGAAACCGAGACTTTTGTGCCATGAAGTGCACAAGCATGATACAGGGGCTTTCATCATTACGAAATGGAATGAAATATTGAAGATGGTTTTTTGAAATTACTTTGGGCATCTCATGCGATAGTTACAGAAGGAGTGTAGGGGATACCATTGCTACTTAGCGGGCACAACTTGCACAACCCCCAAGACCTCAAAATCCTGAGACCAGCAAGGCAAGACACAGTGTTCAGCGCGAAGTGCGCCTTGGCTGCTTTTGGCGGTGTGCGCAGAGTGATCCTACAAAGAATGCTCCCCAAAGTCGACCCTAGAACGGTTTAAGGTTTAGGTTTAGGGGTTTGTTACGAATCATGCCAATTCTTCAGTTCTGCAAAGCTGGAGCCGTGCTTCAGTTTTTTGTCGGAATTCCCTCAACCCTAAACCCTAAACCCTAAACCCTAAACCCTAAACAGGATTTAACTTAGCATTGCACGGGAATGAATCCCTGGAGCCCTGAGCCCCCCTGGGGAATCCTCTCGGTGTCTGCGAAAATCACTTAACCCAACGGCCAACACTTTACCCGTAGGCCCCATCGTAGTTCCTTTTGGGGGTTCCCTAATAGGATCCTAAATAGAAGCCACCAAAAGGAACTACTATGGGGCCTATGGGCAACTCTAACCCGGAGGGTCCATTACCATTATGGAATCAAGTGCCAAAATACCATCCCTATTCTGGTTTAGGGGGGGCCTAATTCCACAATAGTAGTATATACGGACCCTCTGCCTCTGGGTAGCAGACACCCCGAGCCCGCAGGTCGACATTGCGAGAGTGTCTAATGTGGGGGCCTGAACACTTAGTAAACGGGTTTTGGCTCCTTTACAGTTATAAACAGAATAGGGAAATCTAGGGAATAATATTGGTAAATAACTAGGCTTCTAATATTGTATGAACTGGAGCACTAGCATCGGCCCGATACTACTTCGCACATATAGAGAAAGAAAAAGAAACTCGTGCAAGCATCAGTTTGTGCACCGCGAAGTCCAGCTATGATCATTTCTTCAAGCCTCGCAAGGCCTGCCAAACACGGCGGGTTAGTCCCGTCACCGCTTTGCTTTTCCTGAAGTCTTTCAGAGCTTGGTGCAGAAGCTGCCGGCGCTGGGTACTCATTGCTGCCATGCGTGCCTGCATCTGCTCGTCACTCACATCCCGAAATTTCAGCCCACCAAAGATTGCTGACACAAAGGCTTCCGCAAAAACTCCGTCCGGCGCAAGTTCTCTCGTCGTCAACTCTGACAGTATGGCCTTGAGCTTGGAAGATCGAGCCCTGTCATGGGCCCTGGTCAGACTTGTAAACGTTATCACCGACGGCTCCAGATCCCGCTGCAACATCTGCTCGTACACGTACATAGCAGCCGATGGGCTTGGTGGGTCTGCCATCCTGCAGGCATTGATGGCAGACGTGAAGGCGGGCAGATCCGGCTCTAAATCGTGGGTGATCATGAAGTCAAGACCCTCTGCTGCTCCGGGTATGTCACCCATGCTCGCCGCAGCATCGATGCGTGCAGCAACAACCAAGTGGTTTACCACACCTTTGTCGACAGCTTCAGACCAAATTGCTGCAACTTCCCTTTGGCGACGCAACTTGCCAAATATTTTCAGGCCGCGATGAGAAGTGACTGGATCTGCTCTAAACCCTGGCAAAGCTCATAATTTGTCATAAATTTTTGCAGCGTCCTCATAGTGTGCACAGTGGAAAGCTGCTTGCATGGCCGCACGGTGCACTGTTACAGCACTTCCCGTATACTTGCGCCAAAACCGTGAGACCTTCGACCAGTCTCCATTTCGTCCTGCTTGGGCAAGGCTGCTGGTTAGTAGCTTCTCAGCCTCTGTCAGCTCCTGGCTGAAAAGCTCTTCGCCCTCGAGATTGCCAACGATGCTTCACCCAGTTCGTTCTCTGAGCACATTGATCGGAACTTGCTTGTGCTGTGATGCACTGAAGTTGAGTGAAGGGATACATGTCAGACACCCGAGCAGTAACAGTGTTGCCAGCAGCAGCTGGTGGAACGATGTGCTGACGGATATTGCATGCAACGGACTCTGACCAATCTTGCTTATTTTGCTCTGAGGTCTGTGACGACTGCAAGTCCAACTTGACAACTAGACCCGGCCCGACCCCCCCACCCCCACCCAACACCCGTCCAAGAAGGAAGCCCATAGGCCGAAACACCAACTATCCACCCTCAATCCGTGAGTCCTTGATATAGAATCCTTTACTTAGGGTGAACATCCCTGTTACATCTTTCGTCGAGCTCCCTTTCAAAGATCCCTAAACCCTAACCCCTGAACCCTAAAGCCCCAAACTCAGTCGGCCCTGGGTTAGCTCATCTAGAATCCTATCGAACCCTTTCGAGAATCCGTTAAGCAACCTTTTTCAACCCCTCTTTAACCCTAGGCCCTGAACCCTATGAGCCCTATAAGGCCTATAAACGCTATAAGCCCTATAAGCCCTTATACTCCCTATAAGCCCTATAAACCCCACAAGCCCTATAGACCCGAAAACCCCATAAGCCCCAGAAGCCCCATAAGCCCCATAAGCCCTATGAACCCTCTAAGCCCTAACCGCATAAACCCTATAAGCCCTAAAAGCCCTATAAACCCTAGAAACCCTATAAACCCTGAAAACCCTATAAGCTCCAAAAAAGCCCTATAAGCCCTTTGAGCCCTATAAGCCCTAAAGGTCCTATAAACCCTGGAAGCCCTATCAGCCCTAAACCTAAACTCAGCCGAGGCTGCGTTCATGGAGACCGGGCGGAGCTCGAAGCTCACGAGGCTCCAGGACAAAGGGCGGGTGAGAATGAAGATAAACCTTGGGCGGTTTTGGGGGGTTTAGGGGTTTAGGGTTTGGGGTTTAAGAACTATGAAGATTCACCTTGCGGGGTTTTTGGGGTTGGGGTTTAGGGTTTAAGATTTAGGGTTCAAGCACAAACCTTAGGTGTTTTTGAGGGTTTGGGGGTTAGGGTTTAGGGTTTAGGGATTTAAGGATTCAGGGATTCTAGGGGCTATTGGTGTGGAAACCTTGGGGGCTTTGTTGAGTGTTTGGGGTGTCGGCTCTGGGGGCGTAGGGGTGTGGGATGTAGGGGATTAAGGGTTTAGGGTTTAGGGTTTAAGGGTTTAGGGTTTAGGGTTTAGGGGTTTAGGATGTAGCGGGTTAAGGGTTTAAGAATGAAGACAAACCTTAAGGCGAAGGGTAGGATCTAGGGTCCCTTGGTTTAGGGCTTAGGACCTAAACCCTAAACCCTAAACCCTAAGGGTTTCATAGGAGTTTGGGGCTAGCGCTTAGAGTGAAGAAACCTTGGGGCTGAGAGGAGTTGGAGGGGCTGTAGGGTTTAGGGCTTTAGGGTTTAGGGTTTAGGGCTTTAGGGTTTATTTAAGGCTTTAGGATTGTTTTAGGGTTATGGGTTGGAGGAAGGAAGACTACTGGGTCTAGCGTTTAGGGTCCAGGGCTTGGGGTTTAGGGTTTATGGCTTAGAATCCCTAAACCCTACACCCTAAACGAGGAGAAATCGCATTGGAATGAAGAGTTCTGGGCTTTGGGGTTTCGGGCTCTGGGTTTAGAATGTCAAGAAGTGCAAGGATGGTTCAGGGTTTCGATATATAGAATGAAAAGAAACCTCCGTGCGGAATTTAGAAGGGTTCTACGGTTTAGGGTTTAGGGTTTAGGGTTCTGCCAGGGCTATGGAAGGAATTCAAAGCTCATGGCTTAGGGTCCATAGGCCTCTTGGTGAGGTGTACAGGTTTGGGTAGTAACAAGTTCTCCCACTGCCGGTTTGCGGAGGTGGCAAAAAAACATGAGGCTGTGCTTGTGGTGGAAAATTTCACTATGGATCATACCTATAGTCTCCATTGTAGTTCCTTTTTGGGGTTACCTTTTAGGATCCTTCATATAAAATTGGTTGAACCAAAAAAGGAACTACAATGGAGACTATAGCTGTGTATATCACACCACAAAAGGTCTATTGAGCATCTCTAGGATTTAATAGGTTTAGAACGTTCGTGTGTAAGCCTAGCCGCAGCAGGGCAACACCCATAAGGTGCAGCGTCAGCACCGCAACAGCTCTCCGGCAACGAGTCCTCGATTGGTGATGTGGGCTTGAAGCTTCATCGGAAGTATTCAAAGGTGACCTCAAAGCAGTGATCAACAAGTAATCCCCAGAGGCTCCAAATAGACTGCCATTATGGAATTAGGTCCCTAAGGCCATAATAGGTATGGTCTTTTGGGACCAAATTCCATAATGGTAGTATATATGGAGCCTCTAGGATCATTAAAAAATAAAGTCCGAACACCCTCAAGTCCCAAAAACCCGTAAAACCCATGGCTCTCAATGCCCGGGCCCCCGGGGTCTTGGCTCTTCGGAGCTGCTTCGGGCTATGCTTAGAGCTTAGAGGGCCGAGTCCCTAAACCCCCCGACCCCGAACCCCGGCCCAAAAATACCCTGAACCCTGCCGGAGGCCCAGCATTCGAGTGAGAATCAAAAGTCCGACCACCTTCGTTCCAACAGCGGTCGCCAGCCAATATCCTGTCACGCCCAAAGGGTGCTAAGTTTGATGAGGGGGATCCTTACCCAAACCATAATGGTCATCGCTTCTATAGAAGCGGGCCTACTTTCTACTATACAGGAACTTATAACGCTTTGGGACGAAGCTTCGGTTCCTCCGACTCCTGTCCAGCTTGCTAAGGGGATTCAAGGTTAGGTGAGTCTTGCTGAGAATGTAGGGTTCATGCGATCCCAAAAGCTTCAGAAGCTACCTACCTTGCTACTAAGTATGGAGTTACTATGAGTTCATACAAGAATGTGGCTTCTATGGCTCAAAAGCACCGCTGACAACGGGCTCACCAATAATCCTTAGGAGCCCTAAAAGGGTAGTTCTCTAAATTAGGGTCCCCTTTTAGGGTCTTTTTGTTTAATTAAGGGTGCCGTACTATAAAGGGAACCTAAACAGGGGTCCCTAATTTAGAGAATGACCCATATAGAGTCAACAGAAAGCTGACTAGCCAAACCCTACTTCCAAACCCTACCCATAGGCCGCATAGTAGTTCTTTTTGGGGATTCCCTAATAGGATCCTAAACAGAAGCCACAAAGAGGAACTACCATGGGGCCTATGGGCAGACCCTAAACCCTAAACCCTGAACCCTAAACCCCAAACCCTCAACTCTAAACCCTAAACTGAATCAGCTCAGAGTCACTTCATTGATATTTGGGCCCCCGGGGTAGTGCGGCTGTTTAGGGTTTAGGGTTTAGGTTTGTGGAGTCCTTTGATACAGGGCTCGCGAAAGATTGAGATTTATGGCCATGGTTTATGATCTGAGGGTCTAGGGTTATAGGGGTGTAGGGTTTGGGAAAGTCCTGTCAGAACCTAGAAAAACTCCCTAAACCCCCTAAACCCTAAACCCTAAGCCCTAAACCCTAAACCCTAAGCCCTAAACCCTAAGCCCTAAACCCTAAACCCTAAACCCTAAACCCTGCCAGGATAAATTTAAGCGCTTCTTGATGAGCCCGGAAAGGTGACCCGAATAGCCTTCCCCAAGGGTCCATGTGCTCATATAGCATATACCATGGGCCTTGAAGTATCTATAGGGTTTAGGGTTTAGGGTTTAGGGGTTTAGGGTTATAGGGACTACATTAAGGCCAATGTATCTAGTATATGAGTACATGGACCCTTAGGGCTTAGTTTAATGGGTTTGGGAATTTCTGGCAACCGGCCTGCCATGATCCAGCAGATTTCCACGTCGGAGAGCCCGTATTCGCGGTGGTAAAAGAGCGGGTAGAACTTGAGGGTGATACCTGCAAAGGCGGGTCTTGAGGGCTGGGCTGAGGGCTCGATGGTCGGCTATAAACTATAGGGCTTGGGACGTTAGGGTGCGAAGACCGCGAACATCCATCACTCGCATCACATGAGTCATGACAGTTTGGGTTGCAGAGGGGTTCAGGGACTAGTGTTGGTTCAAGCATTTTAAACAGCAGGAAGGCATTCTCCACGATGCCAGAGGTTTAAATGGCTTTTGGCACCGAAAACCGTACTATTAGGGTCGATGCAGCGATCCCAAAAACCCTTCATAGTTCAATGTGGGGTTTAGGGTTTAGGGTTTTAGGGCCTGGGGTGTAGGGTTTAGGGTTTAGGCCTCAGGTCTAAACCTACTAGTGAGCCTTACTTCTGAAGTCTCCATGTCCCGACAAGAACATGGACTGCCATCAGCCCTGGTGAGGGGGTTCTGTAAGGCCAAGTCAGTTTCCCTTGCGCCTCGCGATCTTTAGGCTGCAGGGTTTCAGATATAGGGTTTAGGGTTTAGGCTGCAGGGTTTCAGATACAGGGTGCCGGTGTAATTTTTAGTGGTTCCTTCCAAGGCCTGTGGCATCCGTCGCCTCTTCGAGGGGTCGACAACCTACCTGCGGATCCATTGACCTCCGATCTGAACTGCTTGCGCCCTGTACTCACGCTGCCATAACCTGACCGCTTGCTACTTTTGACGGCTTGATGGCTACATGTGAACCCTACCCATAGGCCCCATAGAAGTTCCTTTTTGGGATTCCCAAATAGGACCCTAAACATATGCCACAAAAAGGAACTACTATGGGCCTATGGGAGTAGTTTTCTAAATTAGGGTCCCTTTTTAGGTCCCAACCCTAAAGGGGACCCTATTTTAGAGAACTACCCATGGGTACACCCTCAAACGCCTGAACCTCCGCATCCAAGTCGGGTAGGCTATGAACCCTAAACCCTAAACCCTAAACCCTAAACCCTGAACCCTGAACCCTGAACCCTAAACCCTAAACCCTAAACCCTAAACCCTAAACCCAAAGCCCAAAACCCACCGGAGACTTGGACAGCCCCAAGCTCTCCACAGGCGCACCTCCTCCAAGCATGAAGGTGATGTTGAAAGCTGCGATAAGGCCTTGAGGTCTTGAGGGTTTAGGGTTTAGGGTTTAGGATGGTTGAGGGTTTAGGGTTTAGGGTCTTGAGGAACAAGGGTTCAGTCACTTAGGGTTTAGGGTTTAGGGACGTTCTTCGTCTGCTGATGTTGTGTCGGCATGACGTCGAACTGTATTCCGCACCACCGCCCAGCGTAAACGCTAGCCGCAACCCGTCCACTCTACAAGCCCTTAAAGGAGTGCTGAGCCCCCAAATTCCTACACTCCAGAATCCTATCACAATACTTACCAGCCTGGTCCTAAACTCTGAATCTGAACTCCTCGACCTCCCTAACAAAGGGGCCTTCATAGTTAATAGTTTGAATAATGTATCCCCTATTATGAACCTTATGCTTCCTAAACCCTAAACCCTAAACCCTAAACCTTAAACCTTAAACCCTAAACCCTAAACCCTAAACCTGAACCCCCCAGGCCTGGTATCAGCAAGTACTTTGGCGCACCGAAGACCTTCTCGCACTGTCGATCGCCTCGCATGGAGCAGACACCGGACTAGGCGCCCTAAGGCCCTAAGGGTCCAAAGCACGCTGTCATTGGGTAGGTTTAGGGTTTAGTTTAGGGTCTCGGATTTGGGATAATACTTATGTGGTATATATTGATTTGAAGAATAGATGATGACTACGTCACGTACTGGGACCCTTGTTCGGGATTGTTACTTAAGGATTCGAGGTTCTATGCTTTGGGCATGTTTAGGAACCCCAAACCCTAAACTGGTTTAGGGTTGGTATTTGGGCGTCGAGCTTCCTCTGCGGTTTCTTCAGGGAAGTAGCAAGCGAAATTCATGCCGTAACGATGTTTAGGGTTTAGGGTTTAACGCTGTTTTTGCTTCATCCAAGTGTTTGTCACCGCTCCAACTGTACTATCAAGATGATGTATAGCATAGCTAAAATAAAAAAAACTCGAAGAGGTAAAAAGGGAAATCATTCAGGATGCCTTTTCCAGCACCAATCCAACAAACAACTCCTCAGAACAGGATTACAATGACAAGCTGGGCACACTCTCGCATAGAAACTCTTCCTTAATAACTCTTAGCCATCCACAGGAGACTCCAAAATCTCATCATTGAGGAATTCAACTCTGAAATCCCATCAAGGACCCCGCCAACAGTGCAGCCTACAATTTCAGGTGCGTTGCTTAATTGAAGGCTGAAGGCTTTCGGTTACCTAAACGCAACCTATAGTCTCCATTGTAGTTCCTTTTTGGGGTTACCTTTTAGGATCCTTAATATAAAATTGGTTAAACCAAAAAAAGGAACTACAATGGAGACTATAGGAAGACTCTAAACCCATAACACCCACATAGAACACTTCTAGATCCCCTAAAGATCGCTTGAAGGTAACCTAAAAGGCACCCGAAGATGCTTTGGGGGTGTCCTTTTTGTAAGGGTTTAGGGGTTTAGGGGGTTTAGGGGTTTAGGGTTTAGGATTTAAGGTTTAGGGTCTAGGGGACTAGCCTGAAGGGTCAGGTTCTCATGAGGGCTTTTGTTGTATATATAGACCATTGACAGTATCGTTGTTGGGTCCTAAAATTACAATCCTACCATGTGGGAACTGGGGCCCTCTGAGCATGGACTGTCACGATCCCGAACTATGCTTTGCTGTTCAGGTAACTCTAAAACCCTAAACCCTAAACCCTAAACCCTGAACCCTAAACCCTGAACCCCATCATATTGCTAAAAACCAAACCCGAAGCCCCTTTTCAGCCCCCCTCAAACTTTCGGGGTTTGCGGCTAGGCGGCCAATCTCCGACGAGGCCAACGGCGCGGCGGCGCCCCCGGCGCTGGCGCTGCCGGAGCTGTGCAGGGGCCACAAAAGGACGAGGAAGCAAACCTGGGTACAGGGCTTCGGTTGATGATGAGTTTAGGCTTAAGCCCTGTGTTGCAGAGGGGTGCAGGATAACATCCGAAAACTTTCGTTTGGAGTTCATGAAAGAGTCAGAGTCAGAGCGTTTTTCAAGCTGAAATTGTGCACAGATTGAGCCTTCGGCGACCCTAGTCTTAGATAGAGCAAGGTAGCTGGAGCTACATCGACTTCTGCTTGCATTGCCCAATTAAGTAATCACAATCCCAGCTCCCCTGATGCCCGAAGTTGAACCCACAAATAGATACAGATAGGGTTTCGCTTTACAGTAAAGTTTGTCAGCATTTAGGGTTTGGGGCTAGGATGTAGGCTCCTGTGTGGGACGAATGATGTGTTTTAGGTGGAGTTTTCTAACTTGGAACTAGGGCCGCAACGATGAGCAGCAATATCAGATATCAGGATCTATTTGCAGCCCGGTATCCTCTAGTCCTGTGAACCTTGGGCTGGAACCCTCCTAAAAATCAGACTAAGATCCGGCAAAACTGAAATACTTCGGCAACCCCAGACACGGTCATATCTACCAGCGGCATCGGAAGTTCTCAGAAGGCCAAGCCTGATATACAGTATAACCCCACGCGGCTTACCCACACCCTCAGGATCCAAGTAGTCCTTATTTATGGTTTTAGGTACCCCAAAAGGCCCCAAAGTCCTTAAATAATGGGTACTTGGACCCTTAGGGAAACAAAAAGTCGCCCCGAACATCCTTCGCAAAAAAGACGCAAGCACTAAACCGAAATGATCGCCAAACGGGCCAAGTCGCCAAGCCCAAGTAACCACCCGCAAGGAGTCTACCCAGTGCTCTGCCTTTTGTTGTGAGGCTCTGGGTTTTAGGGTTTAGGGTTTAGGGTTTAGGGTTAGGGTTTAGGGTTTAGGGTTTAGGCCTTCATTCGGGTTTAAAACTATGGGGATTTGGAAGAGCCATGGGCATTGAGAGCCAAGGGCTCGCGGTAAGAACGACCTCTATATCGGGATTTGGAGTTTGGTTCTGCGGACCGTAAGCTCTTTCTGCAAAGAAAGGATCGGGGAGCTTAGTAGTTGCAGCGGTATCTGTATACCTTAAGAACCCAAAACCCACTTTTTTGTAGGTTCTTATTACAAACCCTAATATGGGATTTATAGGGACCCTTACATGCTCCTACCGTAGATCCTCTCTGAACTCAGCTGCAACGGCAGCTTCGTTTGGAGCTGCCACAGACATTCCGCCCACTCCAGCAGCAAGTAAGTCCGGATCAAAGCGAATTAGGATTTCGGGTTTTGGGCTAAGGGTTCAGGGTTTGGGGAGTAGGGGGTTTATAAGGTTTAATTTAGGGGTTCACGGGTTTAGAGGATATAGGGTCGTTGAGCCACAAAGACCATTCTTTGTGGAGTTTCGGGAGCACACAGGATGTCCTCTTGTCTGGCCTTTGTTTTTAGTCGTTCCGCGCGGATTTGGGCTGAAACGTTATCAAGACCCTACAAGACTCTGTAGACATAGTAGAGGCTTTTTTTCAATTTGAAGCAGTTGATGAGACTTCAAGTCACACTCGAAACTCCCGAACCCTACAACCCAAAAGCCCTAAAGCCCCAAAGCCGAAAAACCCTACATCCGAAACGCCTGTAGAGACCTTACGGAAATTTCATAAAACAGAACACTACAACCAACCCCAAACCCAACACCCAAGCCCGAACGATCAGCAGGCGGCCTCCCAACTCTCGACCGAAAAGGGAGAGGAGCACTGCCTTGCAACAGCCGGCAGTTTTGGTTTGTTGTTAAGGTAGGCCTGCCTAAAATTAGGGGTGCTTCGATCGGGGTTTGAGGGCTTTTATGGCTGTACCAGGTATACAACAATGAAATGAGTAACTACAGTCGGTACAATCATGCAGCACTTGCAGCAAATTGTGCTTTGGTGGCAGGTCGTCATCGTGATCGTTGCTGGCAGACTTTCAAGTATGTTTGTTTCTCGTTGTCGTCGCCGTCATTCGCGTCCTCGTCCTCGTCATCCTCGATGCCGACCACGAAGACGGCACGATGACGACGACGACGACAACGACGACGACGACGACGGCGACCACGACAAAGAGAGCGACTGGGACTGTGACTACGACTACGATTACAACGACTAGCACGACTACGACGATGACCACGACGACGGCGACAACGAGTTCGACCACGGCTACTACAAGTATGACGACTACCACTACAGCTACGACACGACTGGGACCACCCTACCTTATTGGGCTTCATTATAAGGAGATTTACATGGGATATCCCAATCCTAAGTTTTGCTTATGTACTTTTTTGGGGCCCTATACAACTTAACCCCCCTAAACCCCTAAACCCTAAAACCTAAACCCTAAACTCCCTAAGCCCTAAACTCCCTAAACCCCTAAACCCTGAACCGAAGCCGCATTGTAGCCCCAAAAACCCAGAGACTCCAAAACCCCTTAATTCAGGAATATCCCTTAAATTACAATAGGGATCCTGATATAATTCAAGGTATCTTCCGTAATTAAGGGGTTTTGGAGTCTCTGACCCTAAACCCTAAACTCTAAACCCTAAACCCTAAACCACAGCCCAACTCCAGGCACAGACCTGAAGGAAAGGGCCCATGGCCCTCGCAGACGTCCTCGGAAGCCGGGTGTGTAAGGGCGCGAAGCTTCCCAGGTTACATGGTTTAGGGTTTTAGGGTTTAGGGTTTAGGGTTTTAGGGTTTAGGGGTTTAGGGTTTAGGGTTTTCGGGCTTTCGGGTTTAGGGTGTTTTGTTGTTTTGTCGCCCCTTCTCCTCTAGCAGTATCCATGCCGTTGGAGTTCCGAACAGGCGGAGGCCTAGTACAAGCGGCCGGGACGAAGGGGATCACCACACTTAACACCACCTGTCCAAACCTGAAGGTTTAGGGTTTCAGTGAGGGTTCTACCAGGGCGGGATTAGGCGGTTTAGGGTTCAAGGAATTTCAGGGCTTGGGGCACGGCTGTGAGGCCCCCCAAGCCCCATTTTCAATGTATGAAGGCACCTGTTTTTGCAGTCCTCAGCTCTGAATTGGACCATACTCCCACCAAAACCCGAACTCTCAACCCTAGCACTTGCAGAAAAAACCTAGAGACCCAAAGCCCCAGACGTTGTACGGTTGAGGTTTCCACGGTAGATGCCCGACATGGAGCTTGTGTTCACTTCGGGGTACCTGTCTTAACGGGTGATGCGAATCTTACGACTTTGAGTTTTAGGGTTCAGGGCTTGGGGTTAACTTAAAGTGGTGCTTTTCGACGTCAATGGTCTTAATTCGTCTGGGAAACTGTATCTAGTCAAAAACTGTACTACTATATCAATGTTCTCTATGATGGCACTTTGTGTTCTGAAACTCCCAAATGCAGCTGAGCCACATGAGAGTTCTTGACCTGCGTCGGCTGTAGAGTTCGTGTTTTCGGATAGGGGGGTTCAGAGTTCTTGGATGGTAAAAGCAGTCCGTGGCACTAATTACTTGGAGGTTCATGGCTTGTTATCAATGGGTTACGAAGTAGGGTAAGTATAGCTATAACTCCTAAACCCTAAACCCAGTTATAACCCACACCAAGGGTATGACCCCACTTATAACTACCCAGGAACCATCAATTAACAAAAGTCTCCCATTCCCTCACACTAAACTCCGCTCGAACAAACAGCCCATTGAGTCCAAAATTACTAGAGTTTAGGGTTTAGGGTTACGTTGTAGGGTTTGGGGTTAAGTTGTAGGGTAGGGTTTAGGGTTTAGGCTTTCAGGCCAACCCCACTTGTAATGTCCAGCAGATTCGCCCGACGTTTGAACATGGTACGGCCGAATGAAACAGAATGCCGCACACCCGAACCGCCCAGACCCTGAACCCTAAACCCTCAAACCCTGAAGCCCTAAACCCAAAATGCCAAAAGCCAAAAGCCCTAGCACTCTGACACTGGACTCCCTAGACTCTAAACCCTATCACCGGAGACAAGGAACATCCCAGGCATCCGAAACACAAAGAGATCCCAAATCTCCTATGCCCTCTTCCCTAAACGCCTCCAAACCCGTAGGCGTAAACCCTAAACCCTAAATCGACTGACACATCAGGACCTTTAAAGGGATCCTTACAGGGTTCTATAAGGGATCTATAATGAGGTTCTATACTCGGGCCTTTTCTCGCTAGAATAATCGGCGCACAGTTTAGGACACAAAACCCTAAACCCTAAACCCAAAACCCCAAACCCTAAACCCATAATCCTAAAACCCTAAACCCCAAACCCTAAACCTGGAAGCCTAAACCCAAAAAGACGCAAAGCCCGAACCTTAAACCGCCACAGGCTCGCCTTGCGTAGGCCGCAGTGCGAGCCGGTCCTGCAGGAACCTGGGCAGAGACTTGGGGTATCTCGGGCTTAGGGTTTAGGGTTTAGGGTTTAGGGGTTTAGGGGTTTAGGGTTTAGGGTTTAGGGGCTTTACCTATAGTCTCCATTGTAGTTCCTTTTTGGGGGTTACCTGTTAGGATCCTTAGTATAAACTTGGTTAAACCAAAAAAAAGGAACTACAATGGAGACTATAGGTAGGGTCTAGGGGTTAAAGTAGAAGCCAGAAAGTTGGACCATTAATATCCCAATGCCCTTAAGGTAAACTATAAGGGATCCCAGCTCCTCCGAAGCCTATGTTCCAACTCTCTGGGATTCCCTGTAGGGTTCGGTTTGGGGTTTGCCTCCCCCTTTCGAAACCTTCAAAGGGCCGGCCTCCAGGTCTCCTTGGGTTGTTCCCGGATTTCCCAAGCTCCCTCCAAAACTGAGCTTAGGGTTCTTGTTGGGCAGAAGGAGGGCAGCTTGGCTAAGCTTCGCCGGGGTCTTTTTGGTGCAGGGGCGGGTTAAGGCCAACGGGGGCTTCGTATGGGCTACCCTGGCTGTAGCATGACAGATTTCACAGATCCATCCACCTCCCAGTTCCCGTCCCGGAGATAGCAACCATGGTTCGTCAACCTTTTGAATCGCCAAGGCACCGCAACCTGCTCAATATACAGCTGACATTTGGAACGATTCGGCCCTACCGAATTATTCCACTGCCATTCGTGGCGCTTGTCTTGGTTCAGCAGCATTTGCTTGAAGACCTCAAAGTTGTTGAGACCCCCGTCAGAACCCGGGCGGAACTTGGGGTCTCTGGGGTTTCGGGTTTGAAGGTAGGGCCTGGAGGATTGGGATGGAGCTTCCGGCTCCTGTTTTGCATACTTGTCCTAAGGGGCAATAAGGAATATCGTTGGCAGTTAGGCTTTAGGGTCTGGGGGTTTAGGGTGTTTCGGTTTAGGGTTTAGGGTTTAGGGTTTGTGGTTTGGGGGAGCCCTCACTTCCCAAAAGGCCACGTTAGGGTTTAGGGCTCTATAGGGCTCTAGGGCTTTACCTCGGGCTTTGGGGTGTAGGGTCTTCGGGTTCATGGACCCAGTATAATAGGGTTTAGGGTTTAGGGTCTTCGGGTTCATGGACCCAATAGTATATACTCTGGTCTTAAAGTAGTCCCTATATGGGTACTGCACGGCCAAATAAAATACCATTCGGCTGCCTGGGCCGTTTGGGTTACTTTTCACACCCTAAACCCCCAAACCCATAGACCCTAAGCCCACGGTTTAGGGTTTCCTTAAACCCTTAAAGTCTCCATTAAAGGAGCTCCCTTAACGGAGCCCACTTCAGAGGAACCCTTATTAGAGCCAGGCGACAATATCTGCAAGAACAGCATCCAAGCTGCCGCTCGCAGCCTGACAGCAAACAGCCCGTCAACTTCGTGATGGGTTCTCTTAAAGGGTTCCTTTAAGGGTAGTATAGAGCTCCTTCAAAGGTAGTATAGAGCTCCTTCAAGGGTTCCTTTAAGGGTAGTATCGGGTTCCTTCAAGGGTTCATTTAAGGGTAGTATAGGGCTCCTTCAAGGGTTTCTTCCAGGGTTTGGTATAGGGCTCCATTAAGGGTTCCGCTAAGGGTAGTTGAGTATAGGGTTCCTTTAAGGCTTCTTTAAGAGACCTAGACGGGGTTCCTTAATTCAGGGGTTTGGGGGTTTCGGGTTTAGAGGCGCAAGCTTCGGGGTAACCCTGAAACGCACAAACCCCCGGAGAAGGATCCCAAGCCCGGTATCCACCAAGGCTCCATGTATCCATGTATTTTAAGAGTTCCTAATGGGTTCTTTAAGGTTTAGGGGTTAAGGATCCATATACCTATATAGTATAGTATATATTTTAAGGGTTAAGGATCCATATGCCTATAGAGTATAGTATATGCTTTTGATAAGCCTTCAAGTACCTGACTAAGAACCCCCTAGAAGGCTTAAGTATAGACTATATGGGTACATGGTCCCTTACAGGGTAACCACCTGGAAGAATATGGCGTAGAGTGCCAAGCCCACAGCCAGCCAGCCCAAGCGTCCCAAAAGTAGAGCGACCGATAGCACCTCGGGTCTCTGATTAGCAGGATTTCAGAACAGGGTTTGGGGCTGAAGGTGTTGGGGTTGTGCTGTGGTGTTCACAGGGCCCAGCCGTTAAAGGTCTCATAGGCGATCCATTAGGGTTACCATAATGTTATTACAACAAGGGTAACTACAAGGTATAATGCAGCAGCCTGGATAGCTGTAACACTAAATTATAATTAGGGACTCTGAGAGGACAGTATTGCTGACTATCCGGACCCCTATAATCTTGGGTTCCAGGGGTAAGGGCAAGATGTAGAAAAGGTTCCAGTACCTAAATCGTAGGTGGCTACACGTATATATATATATATATATTACCCGAACCAGTTACAACCACTTCAGAAGCAGGAGTATCATATTCATTATACCCCCGACAGGCTACAGACTACTCATGCTCACGAAGGACCAGTTACCGCAAACTCGAGTCTAGACCCTACACCCAAGCACAGATGCAGGTAGTAGGTTCCCCTTCATGCTCTAGTTCTAATTGACGGCAAAAACAATTGCAGCCCTTCACCGGCTATGCAACCACTTCGGGCCCCTCCTGCCAGAGCATGGTGCCCGATGGAACCGGATTCGGCCATAAGCTCTATCAGACCAAACTTAACCCAGAGGGTCCAAGTACCTAATAATCATATACTCTCCCAAATATTGACCTAGAAAACTACTATCCGCAACCAAAGTATCTTATTATTGGGTCCTGTGGACCCTTAGGGTTAACGTCCAGTATGACAAGCTGCCACGGCCCCGGACAAGCCGAAGAGAAAGCCGCAGCTGCGAAGGACCTCAGCTTGAAATGGATAGTTCTCTTAATGAGGGTCCCTTTTTGGGTTCCAAATAGAGTACGTCTGCCTTATTAAAAAGGACCCTCAAAGGGACCCTAACTACACACATGCAGGACAGGGTCTATAAAAACGGTTCTGCGAGGGAAAGACTTCGTAATGTCGACTCTACTGGCCTCTCCGGAGACGGTTTAGGGTTTAGTGTTTAGGGTTCAGGGTTTAGGATTTATAATCACCCCCTTCTTTAAGGGGCTTACTGTCAAGATCCTTGTAAAGAACCCTCATTCAGGAGGCTGATGAGGCATCTCGTAGGTGGTTGATCTAAACCCTAAACCATAAACCCTAATCCCTAAATGCTAAACTCTAATTCTTAATCCTAAGCCCTAACCCTATCCTGTCGTATATCGTTAGAGGCTCGAGGCTTCGACCCAACAGGCAAAAACTTCGGGGTTCTAGGGTTTAAGGGTCACGGTTTAGGGTTTTAGGGATTAGGATGTATAGTAGTGCCTTCGGAATGTCGGCCGAAGCTTACAAAAGGTTGCGAATCAGAAAACATGTGGCGCAGTTAGAGCTTCGGGAATAAAGGAGTTCATTCCATGTAGGGTTCGGCGATTCAAGTTTTAGGTTCGGGCTTAGGGTTCAAAATCTGGGTTCAGACCTTGCAAGCCAGCCTTGTGGCATCGGAATTCAATCCTTGACGTTTCCTCACGGAGCCCTGAAACCTGCGGTTAGGGCTTCCTTTGGCGAGCCTTCCACATCGCTGCAACCCCAGGCTTACCCATAGGCCCCATAGTAGTGCCTTTTTGGGGTTACTTTATAAGTTTCTAGACATGAACCCGAAAAAGGAACTACTTTAGGGCCTATGGGTAGAACTTAAAGGGGTCTAAAGGCTTTGGGGTTCAGGCAGCTCGGGGCTTAAGGGAGCAGAGGTTGAGTGTGTGAAGGGTCTGCGATGTAGGGCCTGTATTTTAAAGCCCTCGAAACGCTAGCCCCTATAAGGGTTTAGGGTTTAGGGATAAGCCCGATAAACCTTTAAGTTCAAACCATCCTAAACCCTAAACCCTGGACCCTAAACCCCAAACCCTAAACCCTAAACCCTAAACCCTAAGACCGTGGAAAGATTGCCAGGCGGCGGCCAAGCGATCGAAGCGATCGGAGAGGTAGCCTTGACTGAGCTTTTGGGGTTCACGGCTCTTCCCATAGGCCCCATAGGGATTAGGGTTTAGGGTTTAATGTTTACTGTAGGGCTTAGGGTTTAGGGTTTAGGGTTTAATGTTTCGGGCTTAGGGTTTAGGGTTTAGGGTATACCCATAGGCCCCATAAAGTAGTTCCTTTTTTGGGGTTACCTTATAGGATTCTATAAGTTTTTTTGGGGGGTTACCTTATAGGATTCTATAAGTTTCTTTTGGGGGTTACCTTATAGGATTCTATAAGTTCCTTATTTTGGGGCTACCTTTTAGGATTCTATATATGAACCCCAAAAAGGAACTACTTTAGGGCCTAGGGGTTGTTGAGAGAACCAAGCTCCATCGACGCTCCCCTGCGAAGAACATCCTACGACTTAGCCTGTGCTACAGACACAATACCCACATGCCACACACACACACAGACATGGTATGTATATATATATATATATACACAGGTTTTGTTGTTTATGCAGCTGTATATATACATATACATATGTACACATGTGTGTCGATACATAAAACATGCACGCAGCAGAGGCCTACAAGTATGTTTATATACACACATACTTATGTTTGTAGTACAGATACGTATGTATGTATGTATGTATGTATGTATGTATGTATGTATGTATATTCCTATCTGGTTGGTCTTCTTAAGCTGGATGTCTTTGATTAGTTTCAACGTAGCCTGCCCACATGCGGCGTGCGTGGCCTGCTTAGTGCATTATGCGCGGGGCCCGCAATCGCATTCGTCCGAGATACTGGGCGGGGACCACCAATCGGGGATGCGGAGATAACCGTCTGCCTGTTTTTCTGAGTGGTATATCCCTTATCTTGGGGAGTGTGCAGAGTGATGCGTTGTTTTTCCACAGCCGCTTGACTTTCGCTTGTGTCCTCGAGTTTCTGCTTACAAACGGGGGCGTCACTGGTCTGCATGGCGGTTCGCCGCGGGATCAGTGCGAGCAGCGCGGGGACCAGGTATACCAGGTCCGTCAGGGATACCAGCGGACTGCCCGACTATGATGATGTCATTACAAATTGGACGGAATATGCAATGGGTGCATCGCCAAGGTTTCTTCCTCAGTCGGGAGTCTTGAGCCTGGAACCGCAGCCAACGTTTCCAGTCGTGCTTGGGGTGGATGCCCTAAACTCTCTCGAGCTTCCCTCGTCTGCAGTGGAATTGTTTTCTGAGGACTGTTTGTGCCAAGGGTATGTTACCTTTGACGATTTTGCCGATATAGTGCAGCTACTTAAGTCATGTCGATTGCTCAGCAAGCGTGCACGGGACAATGCTGCTCCACAGCCGGACTCTCTGGTGTTCCAGACGGGCGCTTGGGTTTTTGGCGGCGAAGCTGGGGTCATGAACAATATGTATCATTTTCCCTGGCTGACGCATCTTTTGGCAGCTGTAGTGTCCATGCACTGCCCTGGGCATAGATTCAGCACGGTTGCGATCAATCACAACATTCGATCCCCGGTGCATCGAGACTCCAACAATCATCGACGGGTTGAGAGCCTGGTCGTTCCAGTCTCTGCTTTTGGCTCTGGAGGCCTCTGGATAGAAGATTCAGCGGGCTCAGTTATCCGCAGGGACTTTTGTTGTAAAAGTCATTGGAGATGATTAGAAAATGATACACCAATTAAAAAAAACAAATTGAGGTGGAGTGAAGGGAACAGTGCAACCAGTGGAATGGCCGTATCTTCTCTTCGACTCGCGCAGGTTTCACTGCACAGAAGAGTGGAGCGGCGATCGCACAGTACTGCTTGCCTACCACATCAGGGATGGATGGCGAATGAAACCATCCGACACAGAGCTTCTAGCACGCCAGGGTTTTCAATTCTGGCCGGGGGATGCTGTTACTGATCCGTATATGCTGGAGGATGACGATATGGCTGAAAACGGCCCATAAGCAGCCCCGCTTCCTTTCTTTCTTAGTTCATGTGGAATGCCAAGCATTGTGGCCA